AGAGAGCTGGCACACAATTCCCAAGGTTGGCCTGACCTTACCCCAAATCCTACAGGGGGTCAAACATACACAGAGCTAGTCGAGGAACCAAGTCCCGACTACAACAACCCTAGCACAAATCAGGGAACACCTGAGTTTTGGGAAAGTACAGAAACCCACACGAGCCCGAACACAGAATGGGGTTCAGGGAATGGACAGCCTCCTGACAGGTCTTGGACTGACCTAGGAGGTTCTACAGAGACGCCCAGCAGCGGCTATCACTTCAAGGGGCCTGAGGGTCTACAGCTAGGTAGGTCAACCAGGTCACAAAGTAACAGAAGCCCTGGCCTGACGAGCCCGGTGGGCAAGCAAGCAGGCCAGGCATCGGGGCACAGTCCTTGGAAGACACCAGGGCACAATAGAGAGAACAGGCTCACGCCTCCCTCCAGTCAGGGGACTTATGCCAGTAACCCACAGCTAAGAAGGTCACAGAGAGCAAAGAAATCTCCCAAGTACCTAGAAGACTACATAACATTGCTGGCAAGGCAAAGGCCAGTAAACAGTGGGAGCACTGGGGAGCAAAATGTCATATAAAATAAATGTTGTATGTTGGTAGTAGTTTTAGCCCGGGGGAAAGGGGTGTTATGTCCCGAGCCTTTGCAAACGGCTCGGGCGTTTGCAGGCAGTCCCGGGCAGGTGCAAAGCTGCCCGGGACCAGACAGGCTGTCGCCAGCGCCGTGCGCATGCGCGGGTGCTGGCGCGGGAAAAGTAACCCATTTACCCGGGAGTTGCCTATATAAGAGGCTGCGAGGCGTTTGGGCGAGGCTGAAGCCATCTTCCTGTAAGCTGAACGCTGAATAAAAGAAACTGAGAACTCCAGCTGCTTCTCGTGTCTGTTTTCCCGGCAAGGACGCAACAGGAACCATATCGGCCCTTTTCCAATCCTCAGGTACTTCCCTGGTACAACAGGATTTATGAAAGATGTAGTAAAATGGGTCTGAGATAACATCTGCCAGCTCTTTCAGAAATCTGGGATGTAATCTGTCGGGTCCTGGTAATTTATATTTGTCAAGGTTGGATAGGTGTTCTCTTACCATTTTCTTGCTTATTTTAATTTTTGTTTCTAGTTTGTCTTTTGCAGGGTTTTTTGGTATGTTGGACTATAGTTTCTTTTTGTGTGAAGACAAAGTATGAGTTAAGCAGCTCTGCTTTCTCCCTGTTGCCTGTTATTTCATTGCCATCTTCTCTCTTTAGTGGATCTACAGTTTCCTTGACTTTTTTCTTGTTAATATGTTGGAAGAAACTTTTTTTATTATCCTTGATTTCTGTTGCAAGTCTTTGTTCGTTCTGAGCCATTGCTTTCCTGACTTCATCTTTGCATGTTCTGGCTGTCTGCTGATAATCAGCCTTAGTTATGTCCCTCTCTTTCCATTTTTTGTATTTGTCCTTTTTGTCTTCTAGTTTGTCAGAGAGATCTTTGCACAGCCATGTTGGTTTCTTCTTGAATTTCTTTTTTTTTTCAGTGGTATTGTGCTGGTCTGGGCTTTTATGATGACATTTTTTAGAGTTCCCCATGCTTCTTGGGTTGTTTTCCCCTTTAGGGGAAAGATCCATGGGATCTTTCCTAGTTTTTCTCTGAGTTTGTTAAAGTCAGCTCTTTTGAAGTTTAAGACACTGGTTGGGTTGTTTTCTATTGCTAGTGTTTGCATTATATTAAATTCCAGTATGACATGGTCACTTTCTCCCAAGGTTCTGGCAACTTCAACTCCCTGTATCACTTCTTCTCTATTAGTAAGAATTAAGTCCAGTATAGCTTTATGTCTCATTCCCTCTTCCACCTTCAACATCTTCCCGACATACTTTTTTATTTGTGCGTTTGAGTCAGTATTGACTCCTGGAGACTGCCTGACCTAGTCCCTGCAGTTTTCTTGGCAATGTAAGGATGTGTTTTGGAATTGCTTTGCAATCCTTCCTAGGACTGAGAGGGAGAGACTGGTCCAAAAACACCTGGTTGGGTTTATATCTAAAGTGGGACTAGAACTCAACGTCTCACTAATTCTAGCCTAATGCATTAACCACTACAACAAACTCACCCCCTTATTCACCCTATACTAAATTCAGTTTGTTGAAGTTTCTAGAACTAACATTCTTCAACTTGTTGCTCTTCAGGTGGAACTATGAATCCAAGGATTCCCAGCCATTTCTCCTATTTCTTCAGAGATAGTTCGCCAAGAAAAAGGACTGAAAACATATATTTTAACAGTGAATTTGAAGTAAGCATAGAGAAACAGAGCATCCCATTTATTAGAATTGTTGAAAATAACCGAAACTGCAGCCCAGAAATTCATGAAAAAAAACCTGTTGCAGTTACTTTCACACACACACACACACACACACAGAGAGAGAGAGAGAGAGAGAGAGAGAGAGAGAGAGAGAGAGAGAGAGAGAGAGAGAGAGAGAGAGAGAGATGGCAATAGTATCTTACGTTACATGGAAGGAATTAGCTGGATTTTTTAAAAAAGTGTAATATTTTCTATAAACAAGTACATGTTAACCTGAGCCACCTGTGTTTCGGCTATGCTAAGTTTATTTAGGACACTTTGGGAGCAGAACAGTTTTAAGGCAAATTGACCTTCAAAATTCCTGGCAGTACATCTTAGGAACATAATGAAAGAGGGGACAATTCAGGATCCCAGGTTAAGACGGTACATCAGAGATACACAATTTGTGGGCCTGGGGTTGTCTATTCCCCTGCACATATAGGGCCCGAGCCCCTCCAAAAGTTGTCATCAAATTCACAATGTTTAATAGGACAATTAGGTTCTAATTTAGTTTTAATTTTAATTAGATGCAAAAGATACAAAGTGAATTTTTTTTTGTCTTGGTCCCAATTACTTCTTGGAGTGCAGTTCCCATATGACTTTAAACAGTCAATTGTATTTCTTGCCTGAAAGTTACTGTAATGATTTAATTTCATTATGAAATGAAAGCTACATAAATTGAACGCATTGATACTCTACTTTCCCTTCAAGGAGCTGAACTGACATACACTGTCTTTTCCTATACATATACCCCATATTTTCTCCTACCTTTATAACGCAACCTGAATACAGCACAGGAGTGTGGGGTGTGGGGTGTGGGATGGAGAGAAGGTCTTTTCATTCAATATATTAGTACAATTATGTTATTCATTTGTCAAAGTTGCCCGCACATTGAATTAATAGATAATTACAGTGTTTGGACTATGCATTAGCAACCACTGTTTAGACTACCATATGCTATGAACTTAGTCTGTGTGCATATGTGTGTGTGGTTGTGATTGGCCAAATATTATTCATTGATCTTTGCATTAGGGTGGAAATTTGAACTTCTGTATCCCAAGTCTGCGTCCCTAGATCTTTACAAATAAGCATATTACTTCTTTAATTTTATTCCATCAAACCTGTCATTAAATATAACTGGATTTAACCTCTCTAAGCAAAGCCGTTTCAATGAACAGCACTCAGAGTTGCTTGGAGTGGAAAAATTGGGGAGTTACATCACTGTGACATCCTTTTGGTTGCTCTCTAGAATTTTGGCAAATATATCCTGCCTTGAACATCACAGCAAAACATTTGGAACTCATCCAGTTCCTTCTAAAGAGGCTCTTCATTGTATCTTGATTTAACAAATTCAGGTTTCAGGGATTGTAACTATTTTAAAATTCTTGTTGAAGACCAGGAAATATTTAACATGAAGCAGGGCGTTTTGGAGTTTCCTTTCTTTTTCCTATTCTTCATACTGTTTCCTTATTGGCTCTGAAGCAAAATCATTTTATCAGGTGCCTAAGCTCCAATAGTTTTCTCCCTTTAAATTTTGCCATTCTGGCTAAGAGCTGAAAACGCATGAGAAAGTATGCCATTTAATATTCTTAAACATAATTAACAAGTTAATCTTTTTAAAACTCTTTTGATTAATGGGCTCCACTGTTCCTTATTACTTAAACATCACTATAAGCACAAGTGTTTTAAATAGCACTTAGACAATCTACAGATAAAAGATATCACTTTACAACAAGAATGAGAGAAAAGTTATTTCATTTAAAATGTGGCAGGCTCTAAGAGATAGGGGTGTTTTAGAATTAAAGACAGATTTTATGGAACTCAAATCAAATCAAACACTGTAGAAATATATGAAGATATTTTTATGGGTTTCTTGGTATAGGAATATTTCATTCTGTAATGTTGTTCATTTGCTTATATCTTACTCGTTTTTATCTTGTGGACATACAGTAGGGTTATAAACCACTCAAGAGTTGGTTAATGATAAATAAACAAACAAACAAACAAACACGCTTTAACTGGATTACAGTTTACTATGTATTCCTAATCTTCCTCATCTCATGTTTTGCTTAAAATAGAAAGGTCCCTTTGTAAAATAATGATGTCAATCTACTGCAAAGTTACTTCACAAAAATGTCTATATTTAGGGGCAGGTCTCACTTTCTACAGCAGAGTACACTGCCAAAGAGATGCGCATAGAATTGCACTAAACCATATATGCATTTATTGTTAAAACTTTACTTAACTAAGGACTCTTAAGTGTAGCTTACATGGCAAGTGATTGAAAACCTCTCCATTGCTAGTAATGATGATTGGCACTTCATCAAGAAAACTCATTTAATATTCTCCTGTCAAACTTGATCATACGTTGTTTCTCAGGACAGGGAATTTTTTTTGCTTTCTACAGTGAACTTGATTGTGTTAGTTCATGCTTAACAACCAGATCATTGACTTCTCCAGCAAAGCCAATTCTTTTCATGTCTTCAAAAGAAAACCTGGTAGCATGTAACAAGTTGCATATGATTATACAAATGAAGTGCAGGAGATTTACCTGATCATCATCTGTTGATCAACAATATCTTGTTTTCTGTTGTTTCACATAGCATTTCAGATTTTTTTTTAAATTATACTGCACAGCCTCTCCATTTCTTAACTCCTATGGTACCAAGACTCACATTGCGGAAAAGAAATATGACTCACCTTGAAAAAGAAAGTTTTGCCATCACAGTTACATCTGGAGAACACTGTGTCAATGGGGGAAGGGATATGCCATCCCTCAGAGATTTTACGAGGTTGAGGAGAGGGTGAGCTTGTTCCATTTAGCAGCCAGTAATAATGATCTGCAAAACCAAGTAAATACCAGTGTTATGGAAAAAGAAACAATATATTAATACTCAACCATGAACCTCTTAGTAACAAGGCAGATGTCACAGGAACTAGAAATTTGTGGCAGCTGAAAAGTTGCCTGGCCCATAATGGCCTGGGCAACTAGTTTGTAGGATTCTATGCAAACCTCACCCTCCCAGCCTCCACTTGTTATAACTATGTTATTATTCCTACAGTCTCCAAACACCACAGGAAAGGCTGAGTTTGGGTAGTTTATGTAAATCTTTTCTACCAAAGTTCATGGTTTGTTTCTAAGTTGTCCAAATGATCTTGCTCCAATTCTGGGGTGCACATTCTGAATGTGGCAGTGCAAATTAGTAGTGCAAATTTCATTTCAAGAACCATTATGTGAATATATCTTCTGATGAAGACAGAGAAGGTCTTGAGCAGAACTCCCAACCACTCTATGACTTCACCCTGAAATGTTTATAACAAAATGCATATTTTATTATGTAATGTTTTGTCCAAAACTTAAGCTCTGCCATGTATTAACTTACCTCTGAATACCGCTAGCGATCCATTTTGTAGAGGGACAATCCCATCTATAGGCTTCTTATTACACAAGTTCATCTCTTCTGGTACATCTAATAAATAATTAACTTTTTTAGTTTTAAAATCCAGATTTTATACAATAAGCACTGTAAATCGTATTGAGAAGAACATAATGCATAATTTGAGAGTTTATGATAATAGATTTGATTGAAAATGAACCCCCAAGCTTTCCATCACACAGAGAGACAGACAGACACACACACACATACAGAAAGAAAGAAAGAGATACACTGCAATGTTTCCTAAAACTAAAATGCAGTACTTTGAATTAAGGCATAATGCATTGGGTTAATATATTATTTTTACCTGAAATAATTGTGATCTTTCACAACATTTCCAGGGAAAAGATCTTATGATATACTCTGTTTTGGGAATATACAACTCATATGATTACCAATGTGCTTAATTCAGATAGGCTATGTAATTTAAAAGGGCACTACTTGGTAAATTATTTTCTATAACATTTTAACTTTTTATATTTAGAAAAATATGGCTGATTCTTGTATCATTCATTCTGTATCAACTGTGGAAAATCATTGGGAAACTGGGTGTGAATAGTGAAGTTCCATTTACATTTGTCAAATATTTCCACTGCACTCTTCCTCATTTGAGAATAAATTAGAAATGGCCAAATGCTGAAGAAATATGAAATTCTGGTAAAGTATTAGTCTTCCAGTTAGGACCTAAGATACCCACCTGGCTTTCATGCATAAGGGAAGTATAGTATTCACAATATCCTCGATTCTAAGCTAGTACCTTAACTATTACACCAAACTGGCCCTCTAAATGTATGAGCACCTAGTTTACCATTATTAAATGCTTTTTCTAGTCAAAAAGTTGGCCATTTACCAGCTTGTTGGACTTGGACTTACAGTCTCCTGCTGATTTCCCCACAGATTTTCCCCTTGCCAGCTTCCCACAAGGAAACTCAGTGGAGAAGCCAACAGGAAGTCAGAAGAAGCTCCCATTGCTTTTTTTTTTTTGCCCATCCATGGTCATTATGTTTCTCTGTTTAGGTATCTTTGAAAGGATGACTGAATGTGTCACAGGGTACCAATATGCAGCTAAAGATCTTATTAAGCCACTCATTAAATATATATTGCATTTAAAAAAATAAGTTTGTTCACCAAGGTTAGGTCATAACAATAGATTGGTCAAATTAACAGTCACATTGATCATTAAAAAACTGATGGGGGGAGCACACTCCAAAGTGTGAATGGGGCATGAAAATACCAAACAAACAGGAATAATATAGCCCAAGACCAGAATGTTTAGATGTTTAACTATAGTGCTTTAAAAAAGAGCACTTCCACCAAATTTTCCATGTGCATAACAGTATTTTCCAAATATGATCCTCTCCAAATCTTCATTTCCATCCTGTCCAATCATGGAAGGCTACCTGTTAATGGGAATTATAATATAGTGTCTGAGGCCTGAGGCTTACAGTATATCTCAATTTAGTCATGAAATTTTAGGATAATATTTAGGAAATTGCTATTTTTTTCAACTTACCCCACCATAAAATGCAGGTGGGGGAACAATGTTGAACTTCAAAGAGGAAAGGCAAAGTACAGTACAAACAATGACATAAATTGCCTCCTCAAATTATGTAACAATCCTCACAGAACATCTTTCCAAACTGTAAAGAAACGATTATCCAACAGTAAGAATCCAAAAATACAGTTTAAAAATTCAAAAATAGAGTAGGGGTATAAAGAAAAAAAACTACCTGGAAATACACAAGATTTAAAAAAAAAACTTATTTTTAAGCTATAAGGTTATTGGTGCTCCTGAGATCATTATCATTCAAGGTCTGCAACACGTCTCTTCTTCCAATTTCCCTAAATACAGTAAAAACCCAATGTTCCATCAACTATGTTGGGCTACACACAATTCCCCACTCACACATACATCTCAGTGTCTTTCAGAAATATAATTATAATTGAAACTTATTACACATTAATGCAATCATATAGCGCTCCAATATAGTGATGTAGATAAAAAGAAAACTGAACGTACCGTTGTACAATAGAGGTACATCAATCTTTTCTGGTTGAACATATGCTGTAGTTTTATTGATAATCATCTCTGGAGATCTAGTTGTGGAAATGGTAGCATCTCTTGGACTGGAGTAAGAGGTGACTTGCCTTTTTGTTGTAGGTATAACAGTGGTGGACCAAGTAGAGGAATATGTTGCAATTTTGTTTGTTGTAGAAGATAGGGTGCTGGAAGTTGTACTCACTTGTGTTACTGTATTCTTGTTAGCTGGGTTTTCCTTTGTGGTTCCTTTATCTGAAACAAGATTAATTTTTTTATTAGTTATTACATCTGGATGTTCAGGTTTATCTATTTGAGGGGAGGCTGTAGTTTCAATAGTTAATGTCCGAGTAATTTTGGTAATGATATCTGCCTTTCTCTTTTTATCATTATTATTTGGGCTAGGTAAACTAAGATTTGGTTCTGTTGTGATAGTTTTTATGCCTGTGGTGTTGCTGTCTGGCCTGTCATCCCTCTCAAAATTAGCAGAATTACTCAAAGGTTTAGATTCTGTTGTGGCACCAAGAGTTGTCTGTATGTCAGTTGGTACTTTTATTGTCTTGGCAACTGTTGCAATTGTTTTCAGTCCATTGATACCAACGTTATTGGGAGTAGGTGACTTTCCTGATAGGTTAGTATCTTTTCTTATAATATCCATGTTTATTGTAGTTTCTTCTGGTCTGTTATTTTTAACATTAACTTCAGGAATGGATGGGTCACTTCTTTGGTTCATTGACACTGCTTTTATGACTGCAGTAGTTCCAGTTGGGAAGACGTTTCTGCTATTAGGACTGGTTGTACCCATTGGATTAGTCTCTGCAACTGTTGTCTTTGTAACTGCATTAAGCTTGTCATTGTTTCTTACATCTGGATTAGTCACTGTAATTGTTGTACCTGTAACATCAGTAACCTTATCCAGCTTATCATGTCTGATCATATCACCTGGATTGATTGTATCACCTGGATCAGTGTGTGTAACTGCTGTTTCTATCACTGCAGTAGTCCTGTCTAGATTGTCACCATTATCAACTTTATCACGAGCAGTTTTATCCTCCAGATTAGTAATAATTGTTGTGTCAGCAAAAGGCAAAGTCTTAATTGGCTTGACATCTATAATGATATCATCTGGATTGGGTGTACCATCTCGATCAGGCAGTGCAAAAGTTGTAACTGTGACTGCAGTAGTATTGTTAGTATTGACACTTTTGTCAACACTATCAGGATTGGTTGAGTCATCCAAATTAGATGGTGAAATTGTTGTTCTCATCATTGCAGTAGTCCTATCTGAATCAACACTTTTATCGATTCTATCAGGATTGGTTGGGCCATCTGAATTTGTTGATATCATTATTGTCTCTGTGACTGGAGAGCCTGTTTCTGGAATGTCACTTTTACCAATTCCATCAGGTTTGGTTGAATCTTTTGCATTCGTTGGTGTACTTATCTCTGCGAATGGAATTCTTTGTTCTGGATTCTGACTTATATATATTGCATCTGGATTAGTTTTGTATTTCAGATTAGATGGTGTAAATGTTGCTTTTGTAATGGCAGATGTTTTGTCTGTATTGTCACTTTTATAAATTCCATCAGGACCAGTCGTATAATCTGAATTCATTGGTGTCCTTGTGGTCTTGATGGCAAGAACATTTGTTCTGACATTTGGAATAGTGGGTATAATTATTGATTCAGTCATGACAAAAGGTCTTTTTGGATTGTCCCTTTTATGGCTGGACTCATCTTGACCAGACTTTGTGATTGCTGTTTCTGTTACTGCAGTATGCCTGTCTGGATTGTCACTTTTATCAATTCCATCAATGCTGGTTGTGTCATCTGAATTTATTAGTGTCCTTGCTGTCTCTGTGACAGGGGTGCTTGTTTCTAGATTGTCACTTTTATTAATGGTCTCATCTTGACCACTCTGTGTGACTGTTGCTTTTGTCATTGCAGTTGTTGTATCTGGAATTCCATCAGTACTGGCAGTGTCATCTGGATTTGTTGACGTCATTGTTGGCTCTGTGATAGGAGTGCTTGTTTCTGGATTGCCTCTTTTATGACTTGTCTCATCTAGAACAATCTGCGCAGTCACAGCAGAGGTTCTCTCTGGATTGTCACTTTTATCAGTGGCAATAGGACCAGTTGTGTCATCTGAATTTGTTGGTGTCCTTGCTGTCTCTATAAAAGAAATGCTTGTTTCTGGATTATCACTTTTATTATTGGTTTCATCTTGGCCACTCTGTGTGACTGTTGCTTTTGTCATTGCAGTTGTTATATCTGGAATATCAGTGTTCTCCATTCTGTCAGTACTGGCAGTGTCATCTGGATTTGTTGATGTCATTGTTGGCTCTGTGATAGGAGTGCTTGTTTCTGGATTGTCTCTTTTATGACTTGTCTCATCTAGAACAGTCTGTGCAGTTGCTATTTCTGTCACAGCAGAGGTTCTCTCTGGATTGTCTATTTGATCGGTGGCAACAGGACCAATTGTGTCATCTGAATTTGTTGGTGCCCTTGCTGTCTCAGTGACAGAAATGCTTGTTTCTGGATTGTCACTTTTATTATTGGTCTCATCTTGAACACTCTGTGTGACTGTTGCTTTTGTCATTGCAGTTGTTGTGTCTGGAATATCAGTGTTCTCAATTCCATCAGTACTGGCTGTGTCATCTAAATTTGTTGACATCGTTGTTGGCTCTGTGATAGGAGTGCTTGTTTTTGGATTGTCTCTTTTATGACTTGTCTCATCTAGAACAGTTTGTGCAGTCACAGCAGAGGTTCTCTCTGGATTGTCAATTTGATCGGTGGCAACAGGACCAATTGTGTCATCTGAATTTGTTGGTGCCCTTGCTGTCTCAGTGACAGAAATGCTTGTTTCTGGATTGTCACTTTTATTATTGGTCTCATCTTGAACACTCTGTGTGACTGTTGCTTTTGTCATTGCAGTTGTTGTGTCTGGAATATCAGTGTTCTCAATTCCATCAGTACTGGCTGTGTCATCTAAATTTGTTGACATCGTTGTTGGCTCTGTGATAGGAGTGCTTGTTTTTGAATTGTCTCTTTTATGACTTGTCTCATCTAGAACAGTCTGTGCAGTTGCTATTTCTGTCACAGCAGAAGTTCTATCTGGATTGTCATTTTTATCAGTGACATCAGGACCAGTTGTATATCCTGAATTTTTTGGTGTCCTTTCTGAGTCTGTGACAGAAGCACTTGTTTCTAGATTGTCACTTTTTTGACTGGTGTTGTCTTGACCAGTCTGTGTATTGGCTGCTTCTGTCACTGCTGAAATTCTCTCTGGATTTTCACTTTTATCAATTATATCAGGACTTGTGTATTCTGAATTTGTTGGTGACATTGTTGCCTCTGTGACAGCTGTGCCTGTTTCTAGATTGCCATTTTTTTGACTGATCTCATCTTCACCAGTCTTTGTAACTGCTGTTACTGTCATTGTAGAGGGTTTTTCTGGATTGTCACTTTTAGCAACTGCATCAGGACCAGTTGTGTATTCTGCACTTGCAGGTGTCCTTTCTGGCTCTATGACAGAAACACTTGTTTCTAGATTGTCACTTTTTTGACTGGTGTTGTCTTGACCAGTCTGTGTATTGGCTGCTTCTGTCACCGCTGAAGTTCTCTCTGGATTTTCACTTTTAGTAACTTCATCAGGACCAGTTGTGTATTCTGAATTTGTTGGTGACATTGTTGCCTCTGTGACAGCTGTGCCTGTTTCTAAATTGCCACTTTTTTGACTGATCTCATCTTCACCAGTCTGTGTAACTGCTGTTTCTATTACTGCAGAAGTTTTTTCTGGATTGTCACTTTTAGTAATTGCATCAGGACCAGTTGTGTATTCTGAACTTGTAGGTGTCTTTGTTTTCTCTATGACAGAAACACTTGTTTCTAGATTGTCACTTTTATGACTGGTGTTGTCTTGACCAGTCTGTGTATTGGCTGCTTCTGTCACTGCTGAAGTTCTCTCTGGATTTTCACTTTTATCAATTATATCAGGACTTGTATATTCTGAATTTGTTGATGACATTGTTGCCTCTGTGACAGCTGTGCTTGTTTCTAGATTGTCAGTTTTGTGACTGGTCTCAACTTGACCAGAATTTGTGATTGTTGGTCTTGTCATTGCAGTAGTATGATCTGGATTGTCACTTTTATCAACTCCATTGGGACTGGTTCTGTCATTCACAGTAGTTGGGATAACTGTTGTTTCTGTCACTGCTGACATTCTGTCTGGATTGTTCCTTTTCTCAATTCCATCAGGACCAATTGTGTAGCCTGAATTTGTTGGTATTCTTCCGGTCCCTGTGACAGGATTGTTTGTTTCTGGATTGTCATTTTTATTAGTTGTCTCAATTGGAGCAGTCTGTGTAATTGAAGCCTTTGTCACTGCACTAGTTCTGTGTGAATTGTCACTTTTATCAACTGCATCAGGACTGGTTATGATATCTGAATGTGTTAGTAACATTGTTATCTCTGTGACAGATGTGCTTGTTTCTTGATTTTCAGTTTTATGACTGGTCTCATCTTGAACAGTCTGTGTAATTGCTGTTTCTCTCACTGCTGAAGTTCTTTCTGGATTGTCACTTTTATCAACTGCATCAGGACTAATTCTTTCATTTGGAGTAGACGGGGTAATTGCTATTTCTGTCATTGCCAGATTTGTGTCTGGATTATCTGTTTTATGAATTCTCTCAGGATTGGTTGTGACATCTGAATTTATTGGTGACATTGTTGCCTCTGTAACAGACATGCTTGTATCTGGATTGTCCCTTTTATGACTGGACTCATCTTGTTCAGTCTGTGTAATTGCTGCTTCTGCCACTGTAGAGGTTCTATCTGGAATGTCACTTTTATCAACTGCATCAGGACTGGTTATGACATCTGAATGTGTTAGTGACATTGTTCTCTCTGTGACAGATACACCTGTTTCTTGAATGTCAGATTTAAGACTGGTCTCATCTTGAGTAGTCTGTATAATGGCTGTTTCTGTCACTGCTGAAGTTGTGTCTGGAATGTCACTTTTATGAATTCCATCAGGGCTGGTTGTGTCATGTGAATTTGTTGGTGACATTGTTGCCTCTGTGACAGATGTGCTTCTTTCTGGATTGTCACTTTTATGAGTGGTCTCATCTTGACCAGACTTTGTGATTGTGGCTTTTGTCAATGCAGAGGTTCTGTCTGGATTATCACTTTCATCAAGCCCATTGGGACTGGATATGTCATTCAGAGTAGTTGGGATGACTGTTGTTTCTGTCACTGCTGACATTCTGTCTGGATTGTTCATTTTATCAATTCCATCAGGACTGGTTGTATATTCTGAATTTGGTGGTGACATTTTTGCCTCTGTGATAGATGTGCTCATTTCTAGATTGTCACTCTTATGACTGGTCTCATCTTGACCAGTCTGTGTAATAGCTGAAGTTATCTCTGGATTGTCACTTTTATCAATTATATCAGGGCTACTTGTGTAATCTGAATTTGTTGGTGTCCTTGCTGTCTCTGTGTCAGAAGTGCTTGTTTCTGGATTGTCAGTTTTATGATTGGTCTCATCAGAATTTGTGGTTGTTGCTCCAGTCACTGTACTAGTTTGGTTCAGACTGTTACTTTTATCAACTGCATAGGAACTGGTTCTGTCATTTAGAGTAATTGGGATAACTGTTGTTTCTGTCACTGCAGACATTTTGTCTGGATTATCACTTTTATCTACTCCATCAGGACTGGTTGTGTATTCTGTATTTGTTGGTGTTCTTCCTGTCTCTGTGGCAGGAATGCTTGCTTCTGGATTGTTACTTTTATTACTTGTCTCAACTGGACCAGTCTGTGTAATTGAGGCATCTGTCACTGCAGTAGTTCTGTGTGAATTGTCACTTTTATCAACTACATGAGGTCTGGTTGTCTCATGTGAATTAGTTGATGACATTGTTGCCTCTGAGATAGACATGCTTTTAACTGGATTGTCCCTTTTATGACTGGACTCATCCTGTCCAGTTTGTGTAATTGCTATTTCTGTCAATGCAGAGGTTCTGGCTGCATTGTCACTTTTATCAACTGCATCAAGACTAGTTCTTTCATTTGGAGCAGTTGGCATAATTGCTGTTTCTGACAACGCAGAGGGACTGGTTCTGTCATTCAGAATAGTTGATGTAATTATTTCTTCTGTCACTGCAGAAGTTCTACCTAGATTATCATTTTTATCAATTCCATCTGGACCAGTTGTATAATCTGAATTTGTTGGTTTCCTTGTTGTCTCTGTGACTGAAATATTTCTTTCTAGAGTATCATTTTTATGACTTTTCTTACTTTGACCAGTCTGTCTATTTGTGGTTTCTGTTGTAGTAGTTCTCTCTGAATTGTCTCTTTTATCATGTTCATCAAAAATTGTTGGCGTTGTGTCTGCTCTTCTGCTCGTATGTTTAACATCTGTTGCTATAGTCTCTTTTCTTGCAGTAGTTATACCTTTTTTATCAGTTTCATCCATTTGTGTACTTGTTTTCATTGTTGCTATAACTTTGTCATATAAATTAGGTTCATTCTTATAATCTCTTGACATCGCTACAGTAGTAGTAATATCTCTGTTAGACAGTCTTATTATTGCTTTAAGTGAGGAAGGTGTGGGGTTTGAAGAAATAGCATTTTCATGTTTCTTCATGGTTACCACAGTTTTAGTAGGCAATGATATCCTACTGGTTGTAGAAGCAACACTAGCGTGCAAACCTAATGGTTTTGTGGTAGTAATTTTGAAGAATGAAATAACATGCTCAGAATAGGGATTTGGGAAATAGCTAATATGCTCACCCAGAGTTGTTGCAATACCTTTATTTCCTTGGATTGTAAGCTCTGTAGTAGTCTGCTTTGTAGAAGTAGATGGCAGCTTCACAGTAGTTGTGGGAGAAGGTGGTTTTGTGATACTTATGGTAGATAGCTTGTTTGTGGTGATGATGGTGGTAGTTGTGGGTGGCAGTTTTGTTGTTGCCATGGTTGGTGGCAGCTTTGTGGTGGTAGTTGTGGTGGATGGCAGCTTTGTGGTAGTGGTGATGGCAATGGTGGTAGATGGAAGCTTTGTGGTGGTGGTAGTAGTAGATGGAAGTGTGGTGCTGGTGGATGGCAACTTTGTCATCATTGTTGTGGATGTCAGCTTTGTTATGGTTGTGGTTGTGGTGGAAGCCATTTTTTCTATAGTTGTAGCAGATGGCTGTTTTGTGGTTGTGGTTGGAAGTTGTGTTGTTGTGATGGATGGCATCTTTGTTGTGCCTGTGGTGGATGGCATTTTTGTTGTGCCAGTGGTGGATGGCATCTTTGTTGTGGTTGTGGTAGATGGCATCTTTGTTGTGGTTGTGGTGGATGGCATCTTTGTTGTGATTGTGGTGGGTGGCATCTTTGTTGTGGTTGTAATGGATGGCATCTTTGTTGTGCCTGTGGTGGATGGCATCTTTGTTGTGGTTGTAACAGAAGGCTGCCTTGTTGTAGTGATACTTTTAGTAGTTGTGGTCGCCTTTGTGGTTACTGCATTGCCTTCCCCACTACCATCATTCTCTGAAATCACTTTCACTGCTTTGGATGCTGAAGATTTTCTTTTTGATGCTTCACGAGCTTAAGAAAGAAAAAAAGGGGGAAGGGGAAGAAAATTAAACATTCTATTTTTCATTCCCTGAAAATAGGTGGTCCCATAGATTTTAAATGATGAAAGGAATCACCAGGTCTAAAAGCATTAGCAATACATTTTGCAGATTTCTATCAAAATAATGCTAATTGATATACTGATTAACTAACCAGCAGCTTGTGATGTTTAGCAAAAATAATTCTGTATTTCAGAAGGGGAAAAAAGAGGTTATGGAACTTAATTCTTCTCATTGTATGACCCAATTAAAAAAATCTAAGCTCAAAATACTTCAGAATATTATCAAAATATTTGAATGGGTTTATTCTTTTACCACACCATTTCACAATTATTGCAAATTGGGGGGGGGGGGAATTCTTCATTTTTATTTTATTTTTTGCCTCAACCACTGGCCTCTGAAGAACTCTTTCTAAGGCTTCAAATATCAAAAACACACCAGTAACAGACTAGGCAAATTTGAGGTTCTGTGGGGTCCTAATATTAACTTTACTTCTTCCAGGGTTTTTTTGCAATGTGATAGAAATTGTTTTAAATGAAAACAGGAAAGAGAAGTAAATGTCTTCTGGCTTGTAGGTTTCCAGATTGTACTAACATGATTTTGGGTTTGTTGATATGTACTCAATACTTCAAATAAAATCCTCAAGATTTATTTATACGAGGGCGATTTGGAAATAAACCTCCCTTTGGTTATTAATACAGACACTTGCAGATACAGAACTCTTATTATGCACATTAGAAAACTACAATACTACCTTGCTTTTTGGCATAATCACCATTCAAATGAGGCACTTGTCATAACATCTTAGAAGGTTTGAAATTCCTTAGTATAGTCACTCTGCACCAAATCTGGGCTATGTGGGGGGGGTGATCAAAAATATCCCAACAGAACTGCTTCAAAAGTCCTTGGGTGCATCTAACGGTGTGGGAGCGAGCATTATCGTGAACCAACAGCACACTGGAAGTCAGCATGCCGCAACGCTTGTTATGGATGGCTCATCTGAGTTTTCATAACATTTCACAGTAGACATCTGAACTGATGGTCAAACCACGCTCCATGAACTTCACTAGCAGTGCTCCTTTGGCATCTTCACATTTGGCGGGATTTTCTATGGCACCACTTCCAGTGTGGTGTTGGTTCATGATGATGCTCACCCGCATTATGACAAGTGCCTCAATTTGAATGGCAATTATGTTGAAAAGCAATGTAATGTTGTTTTCTAATATGTATAATAAAAGTTCTGTATCTGCGAGTGTCTGTTATTGATAACCAAACAGAGGTTTATTTCTGAATTGCCCTCGTACTTACTCTCTACTGAAAGATTAGCAGAAACGTCCAAAGATGTTGTTAAAAAGAAGTTAAGATGGTGGCTGAAACAGTGGAATGGAAGCTCTGTCTGTTTTTTATGTGCATTGCATATGCAACACATGTAAGACACAAACAGAGAGTTGCTCACATCATCATGGCCATATTGATTATTTTTACTTCATCCTGAATGCACCCTTAAAGATTAGGAACTATCATTTTTAAATTTTAAAATACGTTTTCAAAATAGAAAAATATACATTACATATGTGTCTGTTTTGCTGCAATCTTTATTCCTGGGCGCTTGAAAATGATCAGAAGGCATACCTCTCTTTTTTTCTTCTTCTACTGCCTTATCATTATTCCTCCTTGTATCTTCAGGTTCTTCTAATAAAGCTGTTGCTCTCCGAATCGATGAGGATTTTGAAGACGTGGAAGAATGTTCAGAATGCTCTACAGTCATCAGAAAGATAAACATTCTAGAGATTATAGTTCTTGTTCACAGATGGAGTCCCTGGGAAGGTGGCATACACAGAGTTTGGGACTTTAGGTTGCCCGTGACCCTCCCTCCAAATTTTTGGACACGGCCCACCAAAGCTTCCAATTTTGATCCCATAACTGTATTTTTAAGAAGAAAAAAACTTTTTTTTAAAAAAAAAAAAATTAAGATCGTGCAGAGATCATTCAACCTGCTTTAAAGGTTGCTTTCAATGGTTCAGCTTACAGGATAGTCCTCAATTTATGACCAGTCACTTAGCAATCGTTCAAAGCTACAACAGACCAGAAAAAGGAGACTTGAACTTCTAAGGTTTGTGCCCCCTCCATAGCCAAGTGACCAAATTTGGCAACATGGCCACATTTACAGCCATTTGCAGCATCCCACAGTCACATTCATTTTACAATGGTTTTGCCAAAAACTAGTACTTCCCATTTTTGGCAAAATCACACCAATAGAAAACTGGTTTGTTTATAATGACTGCCACAAAAAACAACTGTAAAATAAGACCATCATGACAAACAACCATAAATGGTAGATTCCATTATGGTCATATGTGAACGACTACCTGTAGCCCATCCCTAAAATTGGCTTCAGATTAGTTTATCCTGATTAGCTGCAAAGCATGATTTGGGGCATGCTGTGATGCACCCAGGCTTTCTTTACCTCTCCTCCTCAATCCATAAATTTCTTCAAAGGCTTTGTATAGAAATAGCATAACTGTTGATGTGCTTCTATTAGCACCCAAAGGATTAAGCTCTATTAGATATATAACATGTGGACAATATTTGAAAGCAGGACTTTTGTATATTTCAGAGTAGAAATTGAAGGATCTTAAAATCTGTCCTGAAGTTGGCTCTTCATATTGTATATTAGTTCAGTATATTGACGTTCCAAGTCAGCATTTTTAGATACCTGCTGGACTACTACAATTTCCTACCCAAACAACACTGACAAACCAAAATCTCAAGATTTATCTACCGATATAGGGCTCAGATTGAAAAAAAAAGCCATGAAGATACAGGTATATAAGTATATCTTCATCATTTAGATTTTCATTGGCATTTCCTCTTTCCTCTCATGCCATCTTAAAACTGACTTCCAAAACAACTGTAATATAATGTAGTGTTTTCTGTGTGTCCATATATACATGGGTGCATAAAGGTATCTATCACACTATTTGCTTTTAGATTAAACAACATTAGGCAAAATGCAGAAAGAGATAAGAAATAGTAAAGAAATTAAATGCATAGAATAAGGAAAAACAAAGCAAACCTAGTTACAACTGGTTTACATTACTATCATTAACTATGCTTCATATTTTTTCTGATGTAAAATATTCTTTTCATCCTATCAATCCACCATTTCATATACTGCCTTCATTCTTTAAACTTCATACTCATCTCTTTTTAGGCTCATAGCACTCTCAGCTTTCTATTCTGGAGAATTAGACTTCTGCAACAATCTTGGGCAGTGAAAGAACAAGGGAACACTTTCTGCTAAGGTGATGTCAAATGCAGTCCATGGCCAAAAAAAAAAAGGGGGGGGGAACCTTCTTGGTTCTAAACTGCAGATTAAGTTCCAAAGAAATATATAAAATGGAGACATATTTGGCTTGGAAATTAGATTCCGTGGAAACCATTGAAAGAATGCATCATTGCCACTGAATTCTAAAAAGTGTTTATCAATTCCAACTTTTGTCTTTCTCCCGAGGCATAGACAAGGAAATCATATTTGGATGATGTGTGTATATATGTGTGTGTATACATTGACCGTTAAAATACATTTATGGTTTCCACAAAAATTCAGGTAAGTTTACCTTCCACAGTTTCACGAGACACTGTCTTGTGCTTCTTCTTCTTTAAAGACACTGGTTTGGGGTTAAGTTTGGATGAACGTTTGGTTGTTGATTTTGGTTTGGAGGTTGTGGCTGGTGGCTTGGTTGTGGTGGTCGTTGCTAGAGAAGTTGTTTTGGGACTTGTTTTGGGGGTTGTCGAGGGAGCTCGAGTGGTGGTGACAGTCACTGCTCCTGAACAGTCAAGCATAAATAGATCTCAACTGAAATTGCTTATGTATAACTTAGCTGATTTAAGTTTGTAATTATTAACTATTTACTGTTTTAGGCAAAAAGCTTGTTTAAAAAGCCCATTTTTAAAAACAGTCCGTATTTCAGCTCTAACTTGCCAAATTCTGCTCTCCCTCTATCATCTCAATATTTTTTAAATTAAAGCTTACTAGCAGGAATATTTTTGTCTAAGAATGGAAACAGATTTAAATTTAATTGCTCTATACACAAAAGAAGATAATTTTGCTGTGATCAATGACCAACTTACAATGTAACTTAAAATAATACTGTATAATTAAAATCTACTATAATATTTTGCAGTCCAACAAGTGGCAAATGACATATAGGGGAACAAAAACAAGATTTTGGACTTCTGTAGTTAATAGTAGGACAGCAATCAAGTAATAGATATATTGTAGGTGGCATTTGGGTTCCTTGTCTGGAATTCTCTGAAGGAAAGAATAAATCAGCTGGCTTGCCATACTCTATGAAAT